CTTTTCTAATACCCTGTATACATATATGTATAAACAAACTTACTCTGCGTGCTGTCCCAACAACTAAAGTATCAGTAGCAGGACAGTTGTATAAAGTAATGAATGCCATATTTCACCATGGATCGTGCATAGCAAGCGGTCATTACACAAGAATATGTACAGAATGTAAATCTGATTGGATTGAAGCTGATGATATGCAAATAAAAAACACTGGCCCAGAGGCGCTACAAATGTTTGTATTCTTTTCATGGCAAAAATTTAACACGTTTATTAATAGTATCTGTTTACGAGCGACCGAATGATCGTCAGGTAAACGCGAGATGCCGGTATGACTCAAAGAGAGTCAGAAAGTCGATCTAGGAATTAAATAACAGACCAAACTAGAGTATTGTCGTTTCTTTGTCACCGGAAGGATAACCGCGCTTATATCGCTGAGATTATATGATCGAATGGAGCCGGGAAAGGAAGTCGAGTAGCAAAAGAAATATACTAAACACAGAGATATATTAAACAAACATAATGTTCGAATCGCTACTCAACGGTTCTGAGTCTTCAAAACGGACGCAAATATAACAATAATGAACTCTTAACAGATGCGAATCGTTCGAATTGCACGCGATGCAATTGCCCGGCTAGACGTACGGCCAGGGAAGTCTCGCCTTGCAGTATGGTTATCCAAGATCGATGAAATTAAGTATTACGTTACTTTCCGTAGTCGGGGACGTGGATCTCCGCAGGCAGATGGGTAACCAGGCCTCCGATGGTGGTTACGAGCGTACGCAACTCTAAGACATTCGTTCCTGATTAGCGAGCCTCCAGAAAGAGTTTAGACGAGGTCAGTGCCCACTGGATGAGCCTGGGAATAGTCCGCCGAGATCGACATCGAGATGTATATCCTATAGATGGATAGGAAGCCTATAGATCTTTCCCATAAGCGGTGACGAGAACACAGGTGAGAGACGGACTCCAAAACGTAACCAACGAAATACGGATAACGATCGAAAAAGATCGAGAGCGTTCCACGCCGCGTGTGAAATATATCTTCGTTTTTCTTTATCGAGTGGGGAGATGACCGCCAATGACCTAATGGCACGAGTTTATGATAGAACAGTTCAAGTATAATAACAGAACTCATTACACGAGACAAAGGCAGGTCGTTCCCGGTATTGTCGAACTAAACCGAACGACTCCCCGTTCAAATTATAATCGAATCCTAAACAGTATCCAATATTTCAAAAAAATATCTTTTTAAAAGTTATTATTATTCAAGAAAAACCTAACGACAAAAAATGTACATAACATAAGTTTTTACAATTGTAAAATTTATTATAAAACTTACCTTTTTAAACAAAAAGGTAAAAAAGGCGCCAAGTACAAGCGCAACATGTATTGTGTTATTTTTAGAAATTTCAAATTCAAATTTTTTTTTAAAGGTATATATATGTACATAACAGGTTTTTACAAGTAAAACTTAAAGATAATACATACGATTTTACAAGTAAAACTTATATAAAACTTACCTTTTTAAACAAAGAAGTAAAAAAAGGCGCCAAGTACAAGCGCAACACGTATTGTGTTATTTTTAGAAGTATCAAACTCAAATTATTTTTGTAATGTATATATGTGTACATAAGTTTTACAAGTAAAACTTATAACTATAATAAAACTCTGCAACACTATTCTACTGTACAAAAGAAGCAATATATTAGAATAGTAGCGCCAACTGAGAAACCTAATATATATATATGATTATTGTATACTTAACTTAATATTTTTAGAAATCTCAAATTCAAATTATTTTCTTTCTTAGTTAGTTCGATATAGTTTATTAAAGTATATAAAGACAAAGGGAAGAAGAAAAACATATTTACATAAGAATATCCCAAACACGTAGTACTTATAAAATATTTTAGGAATGTAAATATTAAATATTTTGTGAATATTTAAATATTTGGGAGTTTCAAATATGAAAAAGATTATAATAAATATTTAAAAAATAATCATAAAATATATTTTTAATACACATTTTTAATATTTATCATAATCTTTTTGATATATGAATTTCCCGGATATTTATACATTTACAAAATGTTTAATATTAACCAGGAAAGCAAATCATAACATATATGTGTAACATATCTGTTAATTGTAATTTCTTTATTACGTCCTGGAGGAGGAACGCAACTTGACGCTTGCTTTCGCAAGCTCCGACGTACTCGTAAATCTGCGGAACAGATCAAGGATCGGAATGACCCCTTTATCTGGCGCAGATGTACGTCGGTGGTCCTTTATTTAGGTCAAGAAACTGAATCCTTTTACCTAGGATAGGACCGTGAGCGACAGTTGAGGGAAGGGAGAATTTTTGGTTGAGAATAATTATTTGGAAAACGTGATTGGTATCAATCACGTTTTCCAAATCACGTACAATTACAAACAACTTGTTTTATTAGTGATTAGACGGACACAATGAAATAAAATTTGTAAGATTTTATAATATGTCCGTATACATATGTGGTTAACAATCGCGCTCAGAACAATGATTCTCGATTACTCAGAACAATATTCCGTGTTCGTTATGTCCGACTGTGATCGAAAGGATTGGACCACTGACACCGGATTTTATTATTAAGGAGGAATGGCAAGGGGGATAGAAAACGGAAGTAAAACGAAAGAAAAAGAAAAGAAAGAGAAGAAAGATAAAAAATGAAACGAAAGAGGTCACTCAGGTAAAAGAAAATATAAATAACTTACTGCTGGACTTCTCTGATCTTAGTAGACAATGAAAGGCGTGGTTGCTGCGTCTCTGTGAGGATAGATGCCTCAAGTTCTGTGTCAAGGACAGGCAGCTGGTTTCGGCAGGATTGCTCTCAATGGCCCAAGAAGGCACAAGCTCGCTGAGCGAGAACGAGGGCTCGAGAGCGACAAGGAGGGAATGATATTCTCACTCTCTCTCTCGCTCGCTCGGCGCGTCGACAATTGCCGATCGCGTGGCTCACACGGATTGACCGAGCTGACTGTGTACATATATGGAGGGGGGGAGGAGAATCCTCGTGCAAGCCCGTCACCAAATTCGCATCACTGATACCAATGATGTCAAAACCGAACAAGCTGCGGACAAGCATAACTTGTAAATACCGGAGATCAATTGTTTATCAGCTCATAGACAATTAATATGACGAGATACCCGCGGAGACCCGTGTACTTCTCTTTCGTCTTTGCGTACAATTGCGATCAATACAAAATTTTCACGAATTGTTCGGTTTTGACATCATTGGTATACGTGTGTACGTGTGTGTGTGTATGTGTACACGTATAATTGCGATATACACTTATCACGTTAGCATTGATCATTTTTATTCATGCTAAAAGAAATAAATATGATTATGTAAAGAATTTGTCTGCGTATTATTATACATTCTACATAGTTCTCCCTGTGATAGTAAAAATAACACACTTGAACAACCTCTACGCTCATATCACAAAGCCTGATCCACTGCGCTACTGAAGCAAATTGGTAATTCTTCTGCTATAACGACATTAACAGAAAAGACTAAACTTCAAACTGCATTTCTCAAAAACGTTTAAGATTTGCACCGTTATTGGGTAGCATTTGTTACTATTACATCAATATTATACTTTTCTAAAAGCAAAATCACGCGGTTATTTCAAGGATGAAGATTCCTCTCGTGTGAGATATTAATTATTCATTCTTTATTAATGGGAAAAGATTTTCCTTTGATTTAAATGTTCAAGAAAAGTTATTTATTCTCTGAGAATCTTTCAATTTTTATATTCGTGAAAAGTTTATAAATTTCGTAAAGAAAAAAAATTATTTTACTACCTACCTGTTAAAGAGTTGCGCATAAGAGATATTTTAACAAATCTGAATCTGAATCAGTCAACAAATTAAATTTTTCATTCAAAGAAGCATATGTAGGGTAAATATAAGTAAGATAAGTATAAATAATAAATTAAATATTATTCTCTGAATATAATAATAAGTAAATGTTTTTTTCTTTAGCTGAATCATCGAAGTAAATATTCTATTATAAATTGACTTTTCGGATTATAATATTAATTAGATTTTTCAGAGTACGCTTTAAAATTGACTCTTCGGAATACGCTATTAAATTGACTTTTCGGAGTACACTTTTAAATTGACTCTTCTGACTACACATTTGTTAGTTGACTCTGTGGAGTACATATTTTTTAATTAACTCTTCGGAGAGAAGAGAAGAGAAACATTTTATATTTTATTTAAAAAATCTTAATTTTTGCAGAAAACTGATTGATGAAGAAAATAATTAATTCACGACCTCAACGAAGATCTTAAAAAAATACTGCAAGAAATGAAGTTGTTGTTATTATATGCCATATTGTACAATATTAAAACATATGCACAATAATTATCTATAATTTGCACATATGGGCGTTTATGTAATTATAAGTAATATAAAAATCATGACAAATTAATGTGGCCGCGCGTTATCTCTGTCGCGTCATTGCTAGAAATCGTCCGAACTCTCGAAATTATTTTCTTCCCGAATTATGAATATAAAACAATGTGGAAAGGAAAACAAGGAGGTGAAAGCGGGGACGGCGACGTCTGCCTTACGATAACATCGCTGCTCTACTGCGATTCTGTAACTCATTATTGGAGTTAACGACACTTTCGTTATCGTTGCGCAGCTTTTGTATACCGTAGAAAAGCTGCGCAACAATAACGAAACTGTCGTTAACTCCAATAACGAGTTACAGAATCGCAGCACTGGCTCGCTTCGTCGCGATTGTCTATTCGCTGGTGGTGAGACGGAGACCGATCCTTCGTTTTTATCTAACTAATCTAGCTCGCTCGTGAACATAGCACAGAACAGAACCAAATAATTATGGACATAGCACGGAATACCAACAAATCGTGCATATTGGCTTAGTAGTTCATGTCCATGAAAAATGGAGCCAGTTGGCGCTGCGAATCAGCCAACTTTTCCATAACGCTGTAAATGCAGCCGTGCCCGCTCTCAGGCTTCTCTCTGCAACCGTTCAGTAGTTAAAAACAGCTTTGTCATTCTGCGATCTTTCGATTTGTTGTTATCGTGTTACACAGAGGAGTAAAGTCCGCACATAATCTTGCTTAACTTTCCAGCGAATTTCGCAAGTGTCCCGGCAGTCGCTGGCTCATAGCTGCATCGCTACATCGTCTTTTCCGCATTTCTCTCGTAACATTTTAGTGATTTCCACCTGCAACGTATAAACGAGTGGTTACGACCGGTCGGTGCATATATTTCAATTATATTTGACAAGACCTTACGTTTCAACGAACCTCAAAACCATGAAGATGAGACAGAATGCTGACGTGTATGTAATCGGCGTCGGAATGACAAAGTTTGAAAAGCCTGGCTCGCGAGATAATTTCGATTATCCGCAAATGGCTAAGGAGGCGGTGACCAAGGCCCTCCAGGATGCCCGGATTCCTTATACCAAGGTGCAGGCCGCTTGCGTCGGATATGTCTACGGTGATTCTACCTGCGGTCAAAGGGCGATCTACGAGGTCGGACTCAGTGGATGTCCCATTTATAACGTCAACAACAACTGCTCCACTGGATCTACTGCTTTGTATCTCGCCAAGCAGATTATTGAAAGTGAAAATGCAGATTGCGTATTGGCATTGGGCTTTGAGAAGATGGAGCGTGGTTCTTTGACATCAAAATTCATGGATCGTACTAATCCTATGGATAAACATGTTGAGCTGATGGCAGAAATTGCAGGTAAATAGTCAGATGGCGAAAGTCAGCTATTATATTGAATTTCTAAGATTCTCTAGAGTATAATCTATAAAAAGAATTTTAAGTATACCTTACTTGTGAGGAAATTGTAAATTTCTCAAATCAGTAATCAACTTTGGGGATTTTACATAAGTTATATGTACTTAATTATTCTTTACTTGATTATATGATTCTTTTATCTGATTTCTTACTTTTTATTTGATTACAGGTATTACTCAAAGCCCTATCACTGCTCAACTGTTTGGTAATGCTGGTATTGAGCATATGAAAAGATATGGCACTAAACCCGAACACTTTGCAAAAATCGCATACAAAAATCATTTACACTCCACGAACAACCCTTATTCCCAGTTTCAACAGAAGTACTCCTTGGAACAAATCCTGAATTCTCCAAAAGTATATGGGCCACTGACAAAACTCCAGTGTTGCCCAACCTCCGATGGCGCAGCAGCGATCATTTTGGCTAATAAACAGTTTGTTCAAAAACATCAGTTGGAGTCGCAAGCTGTCGCGATTCTAGCAATGGAGATGTCCACTGATCTGCCCTCGACATTCAACAGTCGCTCAAGCATGAATATCGTTGGGTATGAAAAATAAAGATAAAGATAAACAAGATAAACAGAAAAAGATAAACAGAAGTTTATCTTGAATATACTTGAACAAACCAATCGATGGTTCACATTGATTCAATTTGATATCTTGTAGATATGATATGACGAGGAACGCGGCCGAGAAAGTCTTCACAAATAGCAGATACAGACCGATCGACGTGGACGTAGTGGAACTGCACGACTGCTTCTCCGTGAACGAGCTGATCACTTATGAGGCCTTGGGGCTCTGTCCACCTGGACACGGTGGGAAACTAGTGGACTCTGGAAACAACACGTACGGTGGTAAGTACGTCGTGAACCCCAGCGGCGGTCTCATCTCGAAAGGACATCCTTTGGGCGCCACTGGACTGGCACAATGCGCCGAACTTTGCTGGCAACTTCGCGGACAAGCCGGCCAGAGGCAGGTGTCCAGTGCGAAATTGGCGTTGCAGCACAATATAGGTTTAGGTGGCGCCGTAGTGGTCGCTCTCTATCGTTTGGGTTTCCCGGAACAAAGAATAAAGATGAACAACGTGAGCGTGCACGCGGATCCGGAGGTATTCCAAGCGAACGTGCTATTCAAAATGCTGGAGATCGCAATGCAAGAAGATGAGGATAATCTGATTGACACAGTACGAGGCGTTTACGGTTTCAAGGTCACAAACGGTCCGGGAGGCGTCGAAGGCTTCTGGGTCGTGGATGCTAAGAACGGCAAAGGGAAAGTCGAGTATAACGGAAAAACCAAGCCCGACGTGACGTTCACAATCAGCGATACCGACATTGTAGATTTCATTTCTGGAAAATTGCACCCACAAAAGGCCTTTTTCCAAGGGAAAGTGAAAATCCAAGGAAACATGGGGCTCGCCATGAAACTGCCGGACCTGCAGCGACGCGCTGCCAAAAAAATCGAATTGCTGCGCTCAAGATTGTAAGATATGCCAAGTTGAATATTTTTTGCCGAAGGGCTATAACACAAGGTCACAAGCGTGTTGTAACATAATTCGTGAAAATCATACAAGATATTTCACATAACTGCGAAAATATTTCGAGTATAAGGATAGATAAAACATAGCTCTATCTCTGGCGTGCTATATTTTTCCAATATCAGATTATCAAAAACGCACAATCATCTGTTATATATATTTGTGCAATCTGGCTTCATATTTTAAGATATCAAATTCCTGATAAAGTTTTAAATCGGAGTAAATAAACGCGATTATTCGATAAAGGCCGATATAACATTAAAGCTTTCTAGACACTTATCAGAATTTTTCTAATTAATGAACGGTATTGTTTAATTATTGTCAGTAAATCCAAATTATTACATCGAATATACGTATCTGCGTTTGTAGAAATGGCTTGACTACATTTTCTTTTAACTTTGGAGCACGACTATCATCTAATAGGAGAACTTGTTTTTAAAAACTTGATATATATTCCCATAAGATCTTTCGTTAAACATTAGATATGTCTTGAAGTGCGCCAAAAATGAAGCCTTAAAATACCGTTCTACAAACTAATATACATATATTAATGAAAATGAGACGATCTACATGTGATAATCGCAATAACGTCTGTATGTACACGATGCTCGCATATAACGGTATCAGTATGCTGTATTTGCATGTACAGTATCTAAAACTCGACGTCACATATATACAAATAATATTCGATATGCAGGCGTATAGAGTCGAACAATCTGATGTTCCGATGAACCTTTTTATTTTGTATCATCAAGCGATGTATATTCTAGGAATATACATCGCTTGAATACTTCTGTAAAATCATAGAACTAATATGTCGCGTCGCAGTTCGCACGAATTGTTTCTATATTCTTGTCGACAATCGTTGAACTAAAAATTATTTATCACGGACATGAAAACGGATAACAAAAATGCTTTTTACAATATACAAGTATTCCATTAACATAATTACGCAGAAAATCTTTGTAGACAAATTGAGATAGGCGAATCATAAATATTCAGTGGTCTATCGTGCAAACAGCACTGAATGTAAGACAGTGATTCCACCTATCAACAGTTTGCTTGCAGTCAGTGTTGCAACAAAAAAGAAACTATTCTCATCTCAGTTACGTAAGAATTGTAAAAAATTAAATTAAATTGTGCGTAATCGATATATTTTTCTTTTAAACGGTGTTCAACACGTTTAAACAATCAGAACGAAGATACGTTTGTCACTAAGCGCATTTTACAAATTACTATACGTCACTCACTTTTTTATAACACGATTCTTGAGCCAGCCATATATCACTGTGAATGACAGTATAATCGCGCGATTGCTCCTTGAGATATAATTATACATATATTGCCGTATTGCAAACGCAGTTATATAAGTTGATTGTGAATGGTAAATTCATCAAATGGATCATGTTTCACTTATCATCAGTTACCTTAACACAACAGGATAACCTCTTGGAGGGGACTGCATGTGAAAAGTGAAATTTTGAGTGTGTTTTCATTATTTTTATTGATTAGCTAGACATTTCGCTCAAAGTTGATTCCAAAATATATCTGTACAAAATTAAAGTAAAGCGTCAAATCAGCTGAAATTTGAGACAACTAAGGAAATTACACTTAAATAAATTTTAAGGCTCGGATGTTGATCCCGTCAAGAGATATAATATTATATGTACAAATGAATAATCCAAATTATTTTAAGCAGCTATGAAATCAATTTGAAATTGAATAGATTTTCCCGCTCTTTTATGATTATACAATGTTGACATATAGCTATTAAAAAGAACATATAGTTTGGCGAAAGGCCCAACATAACCTTCAAAAGTATTCAGTTCAGTACAGTCGAAAATGGCAATAGATAAGGTGCATATCCGACACTGCATTCTTTACGAATTCCAACAAGGAAAAATGCTGCAAGAGCATGCGAATCGATTTGTTCTTTTCTCGGCGAAGGTGTTGTATCGTACGATTTGTGTGTGCATTTTGGTTTAAGCGGTTTAAAAGCGGTAATTTCAGTCTAATCGACAAACAACGCCCTGGAGGCCCTCCGAAGAGCGATAATGATTTGGAACAACTACTTGCTGAGAATTCGGCACAAACACAAAAAGAGCTTGCAGAACAGTTGGGAATAACGCAGTAAACGATTTCTAAACGCATGAGATGGGAAAGATCCAGAAAGAAGGAAAATTGGTTCCGCATGAACTCACTGAAACCAACAAAAATCAACGAGTGGCAGCGTGTCTTTCCCTTCTCAATAAGCAGCGTCGAAAATCTTTCTTGTGGAAAATCGTTACGGGCGATGAGAAATGGATATTCTATGACAATCCGAAACGCAGAAAGTCATGGGTAAATCCCGGCGAATCATCAAAATCGATCGCAAAACCCAATCGCTTCGGAAAGAAGGTTCTTCTCTGCATTTGGTGGGATATCAAGGGCGTGCTTTATTATGAGTTGTTGGAACCGGGTGAAACAATTACTGCGGACTGCTACCAACGTCAATTAATCTGCTTGAGTCAAGAATTGGAACGAAAACGACCGTATACTGGCAAAGGAGAACGTCCAGTGAAATTGTTGCATGACAACGCCAGGCCACACATTGCTTCCAATACAAAAGACACCATAATGAGTCTTGGCTGGGACGTCTTGCAGCACCCGGCGTATTCACCAGACATTGCTCCATCCGATTATCACTTGTTCCGGTCGATGCAACACGCCTTGTCCGATATGCACTTCCAATCAGTGGATGAAATCTGAAAATGGCTTGACGACTTTATCGTGTCTAAAGACGTAACATTTTTCCGAGATGGAATTCATCAGCTGCCTGAAAGATGGCTTAAAGTTATAGGAAGCAACGGCGAATACTTTGATTGAACAATTTAATTTACTTTCTTTTAAAATAAACCTTGAATGTAGCTGAAAAAATTGGATTATTCATTTGTACACCTAATACATGCACAATGTTTTTCTCAATATACGATATATAAATTATAGTTTTATCTTTTTGTAAATCTGTGATAAAAGAGAAAGTGTTGTTACTTTTCTTCTGTGCATTGTACTGCTAAAATTTCGATTTTCAACTACATTGTTACTTTGTTAAGAATTGTTACTACTTGTACTTGTTATAATTGCAAAAAAATACGGAGTAATCTCTTTTTATAGCTAGAAACCATGAGACTTTGCACATATAACATATTAAAGGTGAGTTATAGAGATAAATATATAAAATCTAGTTTTATATTTTTATATGCGCGAAGGCGTGAATTCCACGTTACGCAATTACAGATAAAGAACATCTTCGCGAAAAATCTTCGAAGCATTCTAGTGAAGCATTTAGCGGAAGGCAAATTTCATTGCAATTCTCTTCAACTATATTAAGACGATTAGTAGAGACAGACGACCCGATCTCTATACGTGAAAATACTGAGGTATCGCTGCGTCATATCTCCGTATTAATTACCGAAGCTTACTGTCTCCTCGCTCTCTCGTCTCAGCAAGAGACGGAACTTCTAACGTTCGTTTCGGCGGAGACAATTGCTGTTTACACAACGAATTGCGAATGCTAGATACATGCATTTTTCCATCTATTATATACTATGTTTACATTTTTATATCGTGTGAAGGGGACCGGTGTAATGTTTTAACTGGTGTATATTAATAAAAGTCTTCTAAAAGCAATTAAAGCCGCTTTCGAGTCGATCTCCCCTCCCCGTCTAATTTCAAATCTATCTCTTATAAATTCCTCCTGAGGAATCCGCACTCTTCACTCTTTACTCAATCAATCTTTTCAGTCAATCTGCTCCACCATCTATTAAGTCGTTAAATATGAAATGTCCGATTTTCTTAAATACTAAAGTTCGACAGTCGATATCTTTGACATTTCACTTTTACAGTTCTTGGTTTTTTTAATTTTTTTTGTAAAGATATACTATTACTCTTTCAAACGCATGTTTTGGTTTGACGTTATCTTTCGAACAGTCTTTATTACAGCAATTTTTGTGTAACCATAGGTAAGTAAAAAATTCGTGTTATTTTCGGGTGGGTCCCGTCATGGAACCAATACAGCACAGACAACTCGAAATATCAACGAAGTATTTGGTGAAAACGTGGCTAATAAACGCACAGTACGTCGATGGTTTGAGAAGTTTCGTTCTGGCGATTTTAATATTGAAAATGATCCACGTGGACGACCCGAGACCAAAGTGGATAATAATGAACTGAAAGCTGTAGTGGAAGCGGATACACCTCAAACTACGCGAGAATTAGCAGCAAGGTTTAACGTTACTATTAGAGCATTTGAAACAAATCGGTAAAGTAAAGAAGCTGGATAAGTGGGTGGTTCCGCGTGAATTAAACGAGCGTTAGAAGAAAAATCGTCTCGAAATTTGCCTTTCTTGATTATCACAGCGTAAAGGCGAACTATTTTTACATTATATTGTTACGTGTGATGAAAAATGGATTCTTTTCGACAATTGCAAGCGTTCGGCACAATGGTTGGATAAAGATGAAGTACCGAAACACAGTCCAAAACCAAATATTCACCAAAAAAAGCTATTGGTGTCAGTTTGGTGGTATTATCTACTTCAACTTCATGAAACCTGGTTAATCGATTACAGCAAATGTCTACTGTAACCAACTGGACGAAATGATAAGGATGCTTGCGATTAAGCAACCGAGACTGGTCAATAGAGACAGGCCAATCCTCTTGCAAAACATTGCTCGACCACATGTCGCACAAACAACGTTGTTCAAACTACAAGAGCTGGACTTGGAAGCTCTCCGTCACCCACTGTATTCACCAGACCTTGCACCAACTGACTACCACTTCTTCCAGGCACCGCACCATATCTTGCAAGGAAAAATATTCAATTTTCAACAAGCTGTGGAAAATGCTTTCTGCGATTTCATCGTCACCCGCTCTTCAGGCTTCTTCGCTACTGACATGAATAAGCTACCGTTAAGATAGCAGAACTGTGTCGATGGTTGGACGTATACTTTGACTAATGGTACTATTTCTAGTTTGAGATATAATGAACCAAACTTTTGATTCGAAATCGAACATTTTATACTTAATAACCTAATAATTTCTAGTTCGTTTCTTACGAATTCTTCCTGAGAACTATCAACTTCCCTCGGACCTGAGTCGAATTCGAGACTTGTCTTCCGCGACAGCTTCGCCGATTTGCCCGGAGCTATGCGTACCATCGCCACAGGCCGAGTCGTCCCCAAGAACGCTCTCCTCCGAGGAAGATCGACCGTGATGGTGCATCATCGACATGCGCTCCATGTCGACGAATCTCTAGGATAGACTCGCCGGGTCCGCCAGCGCGAATACGCGCGTCGTACGCACCCTCTCTCTCTCTCTCTCTCTCTCTCTCTCCCCCCTCTCTCTCTCTCCCCTCTCCCTCTCTCCCCCCCCTCTCTCTCTCTCGCGTGCGCTTCCTCTATATTTATAGCTAAAGATAAATATACATCTTGGCGCAGGTCCAATCGCCCATATATCTACACGCAGTTCGGCTACGGGAAACGGACAAACTCCGTAATAGCAGCTGTGTCAGTGCTATTAGTGACGTCGCGTGCGACGTAGGTAGGAATCGCCGGAGGAGCGGATTACGGACGCGTGAACAGGGAAGAAAAAATGCAGCAGGAGAGTAGGCGCGAGTAGGAGAGACGTGTCAACTTCCTGTCGAACTCTCTTTCTCGCGGACTCTCCTTTCGCCGAGGGCATGTAAAGCCACCCCCGTTCAAGTGCGCGAGTGTGAGTCACGTTTGATTGGAAGATTACGAGATGCGACCGTGTCTGCCGAGGATGGAGGAGACTCTGTGCGCCGCGACGAGCGGCCGTTTCTGACCGACCGGCGTCTAGGATAAATTTAATTCACGCCGAGCCGCTGAATTTGGGTTGATATCGAGTGCTGATTGAGTGAGTAGAGCGTTGCAACGCGCCTTGCGATATTGCGTAAGAGCTCTCCACTTCAGTCGACGCTTCATCGGTGGATATCGCGATCGAACAGCTCTGCTTTGCTCTGATAGACGTTCGTCCGTATCATCCGGCGGTCCGTCTTGCGCGGACCTCGGATCTCTTACGTACGTGGAACATTGGGGAAAAAAGGCGCACGCTACGTGGCATTGAAATTTTATAAATAAACCGCCGGTGTGTGCTTGGCGCATGGTTCTCCAAGTGTCACGGTTGTCGTGCACGCGTGTGCCCACATTGTCCGAAATATGCGCGACGAGCGGAGCGACATGATCGCCTCAGCGAAGAGCTGAAACCGTTCTGCTCGTTTTTTCCATGATTTTCTCTGCCAACTGCACATCCCGATCGTCTTACCTCGGCTACGTGCACCGGTAAACAATGTCGTGACATTCTTAAGCGTAGATCACAGCAACACGTCGCAATTAAATAAGTAAATTACGATACGCTCAAGATTCGTCTGAGAAAACGCTCGTCCGTCGTCATTCCGTTTCGCGATATGTATCACTATCTTGGCGCAGGTAGCATAAGTTGTGACTAAAAGATGTGACCTTCGCGCGCAGGATGCACTCCATGTATTCATCGAAGAAAGGCGACCCTCTTTGCCCCTTGGGTTTTCACCCGCAAGTTCGGTGGCCGACACGTTGCAAACGCTGCTTCAGGTAATGAATCCGCAATTAGACGAGACTGAAGGATCATTAGATAGGATGACAATCGGTATGATAATATCGGTATAATAAAAACGCGCGGTTCGAATGAACGATTACGATCTTCAGGGACTACAAAGAGCATGGCGGCAGGAGAAACAGCCTCGGAGACATCACGGCCTCGTCTCCTAGTCTCTCGTCGGACTCGACGCGGTAGGTTTCGTTGTTGTACATTACAAAATTGTCCATTGTTACATAACATGTGTTTGTTGCCGGCGCACTCCTCAAGATCAAGATTGATCGCTATTCATGTTCATTTCTATGTTCTACGATAAACATTCGAAATACATTACATGTTGAATGACATTTTTCTTAATTAAAATTAAATTTAAATTTAATTAGATTTATTTGAACTCAACAAATTAAAACTAAAGCTAAATTTAATTATCATTTTCTTTTCAGTCGGAGGGTATATAAATGAAAAAAACTTGCAAGAATAATTGTATAGTAATATTTTTGCCGGAATCATTTGCAAATCGACAATGATTTCTGTGGACTACGTTTTTGAGCCCGCGTGTCGCCATTTCTATGAATTTTCGGTGTTACGGATTTTCTTTTGTCGAAATCTTTGAAGATGGATGTCCCTGGTTCAGTGAACGTGTTATTTGATAAATACTTGGTTACTCGTATAGCTTTTTATGTAAGCTTGCAGATGCATCTTCAATATTTCTATTCGATTAAATCAACGCGAGGTCTTTCTTCTGTGAACAATAGAACGACTCTCGGTTGTCGGTAGAAACGGTGCGGTTTCGTGACACAGAAACTTTGAAATTGATGATGGTGTCACTTAGTGAAGATTCCAACATTTCTTGGCAAAGACTCGAATGAAACGTAGTTGAGATACAAACCAGTTAGAGCTACAAGCCGCTGCCATTTCTAACGACGACTCGAGACAGCTATGATTCAACCGCAAGTTAGGATTCATTTTAAGTACGAGTCAACAGCGACTGAGCTGACCCTTTTATTTTCAATGGTATCGATGGTAGAGTCAATTCGATGTGGCGCAATATGGGAAGCTACGTTTTCGAATATCATAGAAAAATTGATTGTTGTCTCGCAATTGAATTATTTTGAAGTGGCTCCGAGAGCAAAAGGACGTGGTCTTCTGCTACGAACTTGGCGAAAGATGAAACCAAGAATAATTATTCACAGCCGGCAGCAACGGCTGGTTGGACATCCTTGATGGATCTCTCTACCATAGATAAGGATTCAGACGATAGTCACAAATTAGAAGGTAATCAAGGCAAGATCTATAAATCAATTAACATCAAGTTCAAGAATATCTCTTTTTCCGATAATCCCATTTTGCATATGATATTTATAATGATATATAATATATGATATATAATTCCTGATTATTTACGCGTGCCAACGCGTATAGATATCAGGAGACCGGCGAAGCTCCAGATAAAGAACGTGATAAGCAACAGCAATGGGGGCACATCGGGCAACGACGTGGAATTTATAATTCAGGTATCTCCTAGCTGTTTAACTCACTAATGCATGGAATGCTCTTCTTTCTGTTATTGCCATAAACAGCACAAACACACGCATGCAAACATCTTCCTCGTAAGAGACGTCCAAGGGTTCAGACAGGTTTTGATACAATTTAGTTGTACCACAGACGGTAGAGTAGCGACATTCGTTGATAACAACAGTCGTGCGAATGTAAAATTCCATTTTGCGCTCTCATTTTTGTCACACCACTTTAGGTAAGGAAATCACGGCCGGCACCGCCGAAACAGGTGGTCCACGACGGACTGGATAATGTGACGGTAAAAGGACAGGAAACTGAGGAGGTGAGACCGCCGAGACACTTTTTTGTTAATACGAAACGTTTTTATTAATGACGTACACGGAAACTTCTAGGATCGATCATAATCAAACATATGTATCGTCATATACATAAAGCAAACCTTGTACATAAACCAATCTAATAATATTACATATCGTGAATTGTGAAACACTCGCGACAGCCCCATCAGGACTTTAAATGCGCTATCTTCATTTACGTGTTATTAATTAACTCGTTCGACTATTAACTAACTGTATGATCGTGCAACATTATGTCTATCTTTTATATAATCCAAATATATATTTCTCTCTGAAGAAATTCCTGGATTAGCATACAGCCCTTCTATAGATATGGATTATTTTTGACTTTACTTGTTTTTAAATGAAGAGAAATGTTTTTCAGCAAAAATACCGAAAATTTTTATGACTAAATCGGGTACACTCTATCGAGTGGTGATATTTTCAACTTCCAGTACTGAAAATTGACTATGCAGACCGGAAGTTGAGTTTTCTAAATGAAACACTTTTTATTGCATATTCGAATTACATACAAAATAAAAATAAGAAACTTTTGTTTCAAACATTTTTTTTCTAAAATGCCTCCAATGATCTTGAAATGATATCCAGTCAGAACTATAATGTTGATTCGATGATGATTTGACGTTTATTGGAAATAGTCGATAAACCGTTGAATCGACGTTAATTCAACCCTCATAGAAGTATGATATGACAATGTTTTCACGCAGCCGCTGCGAAGCGGCATAAGTCGGGCCTGCTATCTCAATAAGTGGATAAGCAAATATTGTTTGATAAATTATCCACCCCGTTTACCGGGTCTCACCGTCCTTGATTACAGGACTATAGAATAAAAAAAGTGTTTTGTTTCGGAAGGAAGACCAACTGTTTCCTGCATATTTTGACGTGCTGAAACAGAATTTGTTTCCCAAAAATTCGTATTACGTCACATTTATAAGATACACGTGGTAAGAGGATTCAAAATCAAATTGCAAATTATTAGGAGTGTGATTTAGTTTTAAGGGTATTTTTCGAAAACTGATTTATTTAAACAAGATAATAAACGAATGCCTTAATCAAAATATTTTCCTTCGTTTTCTAGTATTTTTTCCTATTTTTCTGAGATGAATTCCGCGACGAGATGTTGATTCAATTTTCAACAAATTTTCGTATTTGTTCGAAGTTATGAAAGTATATCCTCTAGAGACATGTTGCATCGACCGGAATAAGTGATAATCGGATGGAGTAATGTCTGGAGAAGACGCGGGGTTAGGTTAACGATAAGAGTTCCCATTCCAGCTCTAATAGCGTTTACTTCACTGATAATGCAATATGAGGTCGAGTATTGTCGTGAAGAAGAATCACTTCGTTTATTCGTAATTGGTAATCGTTTTTGGTCCAATGCTTGCTTCAATTGGTATAATTGTTGTCGATAACGATCAGCGGTGACAGTTTTATTCGGATTTAACAGTTCATAGTACACAATATTTTCTTGATCCCACTAAATATACAGCGGTTCCTTTGACCGTGCATATTGTATTTTGAAGTGAATATTGCTGATTGGCCTGGATCAACCCATGATTTTTTTCGTTTGGGATTATCGAAATAGATCCATTTTTCTTCCCCAGTAACAATTCAATATAAAACACTCTTCATTTTTTGTCAAGCAATCGATGAATAGCAAATATTCAACCGGTTCGCAATGGTATTTTCCGATAATTAATATGGAATCCATTTTCTTTTTTTGTGAATCTTTCCCACATCATGTAAACATTTAGTAACTGTTTAGTCCGATTAACATTTAATGCTCTGGCAAGTTCTGAAATGGATTGTGCTGAATTTTCGTCCAATAATGTTTGCGAATCTGCATCTTCAAGTTTTTTAGGTTCCCCTGAGCAATCTTTGTTGTTAACATTGAAATTACCACTTTTGAATCATTTAATAAAATAATATTTACATGTCTTAATTAACACATTGCATGCAGGAAACGTACTTTTACGTTTTTTGCTGTCTGTCACTAGAACGCGGGTCACGTAAAAGTACATATTTAGTAGATTTGTGCGGAGAGCGAGTATCGTATAAATACGATAGACATTGTAAGTGTGTATGGTATTTGTGTTGTTAGGCAACGATTTCCATTGTTTCTTTAAGTAAAATAAAAAAAGTTTCGTTAAGAAAAACATAATAGTTATCGATTTATTGCGATTTTACTGAATGACCAAACTCCCGTGAAATTCACGAAAAAACACCCGCTACACGCGTAAGTCCGCGGCGAAATATACCCGCATGCAATGTGTTAATGGAACAATATTACCATAAGTTTCTATCAGAATTCTATGTCCTTCAACCGCTGTTTTCTTTTGATTAAAAAACAAAAGCAACGCATGTCAAAAATACTCTTTAAGAAATTCTATTTTTAAGATGGTATCAATACCATTTTTACTGCGTCTGTTGTTAGTAAATGATTACACATCATGGATTAATATTAAAGCATTAGAAACAATAGCTATGATTGGAATGTCTTCGACAAAACTGACCTTAGTGCCATGCCATCTCTTGTAGAGTCCTCAAAACTAAATCACACTTCTAATAAAATAGATTATAAATTCCTATCTGCGTAGAATCATAATCATAAACTATAAACTAGATTTTGTTAATTTACACTAAGGGGTTCCTTGCTCAACCCATAAACCCCAAACCCATACATCCCAAACTCATATATATTTGAAGGCAAGATCTCGAAATGATCTGGTCAGTGAAAACAAAATCTGGAATTAATCCGGCCATTGAAGGTAAAATCTCGAAATGACCTAGCTAGCTAGACTTAGCTAGATGGCAAAATCTGGAATTAATTCAATGTGAAAGCAAGAAACAGATAAACTGTAAAATCATAAAAGAATCGTCGAAATCATGTTATCAAATTATAACAAATTAGGATGTCTTATGAATTTAACATTGCATTTTCTCCATTTTCATCTCAACTACTTTTCCAAAAATGTAGAACACTATAATGAAAAACAAAGCGAGCGGTTTCACCAAGACCTGAAAGAAATTGAGAGAAGTTACTAAGGTAAATGGAACGAAAATATGATGACGGATTACTATTGGTTACTGAAAAGAGACACTAAAAAGAAAGTGATACATAAAAAGAAAGCAATCCCAAAATCATTTGAAGAAAAAAAGGTACGATCGCACAAAAATAAAAAAAACAGAGGGATTAGTGAAGTTATTGGTTTATCTGTATCTTATCTTCACTGACCGGATTAATTCCGGACCTTATCTTCACTGGCCGGATCATTTCGAGATGTTGCCTTCAAGAGTATATGATTTTGTATAGGTTTGGAGTTTATGGGTTGAGGGTTCAAAGGACTTGGTTTGGTTGGTTTTGGATTTTGTTTCAGTCAAAACATGTAAGATACAGTTGATCTTCCTTCTGGTATAAAATACTTTTTTTATTTTGTGGTCCTATGTTATTATTTGTGAAAGATAAAAAATTTGGTGTGAACATCTACTGTGAACATCTGATTACAAATAACAATATCATTTGTAAGATAAATGAAACAATTCGATCGTTAGGTGCTAATGAAATTCTTCAAACTAATTCTTTCCAAAGCAGAATAGATGTTTGCATCGCACAGGACAGTGCTCAGTTTGAATACTTAGCTTAAATAAACGCAGTTAATAAACTCAGAAACGCAATAAATGCAGTAAAAGTTTATTTTTTCATCATCATATTAGGTTGCATTGAAAGCCGCTATTTACGCTGCATATGCTGTGGGCAGTGATAGATATCTCTTATCTGATTTTGAAGTGTGAACATTTCCCACTAAAATTCAGTTATTAGACGCCATCCTTTGTTTACACAAGTGCTTTTTTATAACTGAATTAAAATGGATAATTGTTTTTCCGATATGTACTTCTACATTACTTTGATTTAAGAAAAAGTGCAGCTGAAGCTCATCGATTGCTTGCGAAAACTTATAGTGAATCTGCTCCATCGAAAACAATAAATAGAGATTGGTTTCGACAATTCAAAAGTGGTGATTATGACATTTACGACAAACAACGACCAAATCAATCGAAAAAATTCGAAGGTGAACAACTGCAAGCTCTATTGGAAGAAAACCTTGCTCAAACACTCAAAGAATTGGCTTAGCAACTCAAAATCGATAAATCAACCATTTCACGACATTTACAAGCCATGGGAAAGATTCAGAAAGAAGGGAGATGGCAGCCACATGAATTGATCGAAAATGTCATTGCTAATCGTTTAAACATCTCGATTTCTTTGCTTGCAAAAAGAAGAATTTCTTGTGGCGTGACCGGCGATGAAAAATGGATCTATTTCGACAACCCGAAACGTAAGAAACCATGGATTGATCTTAGCCAATCATCATCAAAACGACGTCATCATCAAAACGTCATCACCAAAACGAAACATCCACGGTCACAAAGCAATGCTCTCTATTTGATGGGATATGGAGAATATCATGTATTATGAGTTATTGAAACCGAACGGAACAGTCACCACCGAACGTTATCGACAACAATTGAAGCGTTTGAATGATAATTTGATGCAAAAACGACTATCAATTATATCAAATCGTCGAAAAATGATTCTTCTCCATGACAACGCTCAGCCCCATGTTGCGATAGCCGTGAAACAAACACTGATGGAATTCGAATGGGAGCTTCTCCCGCACTCAACGTATTCTCCGGACCTGGTCCCAAGTGATTACCATCTGTTTCGATCAATGCAACACGCTTTGGAAAACATTTCCATAATTACGGAGAAGTCGAAAATTAGATTGCTGAATGGATTGGCTCAAAAGACAAACCGTTTTTTCGTCGCAGGATTCAACTTCTGCCATAAAAGTGGAAAAAAGTCAGTTTCTGAAGGCAAATATTTTGATCATATATTCATATATTTTGTTATTAAAATAAATGCTCAAAAAACACAAAACCAGCAACTTTCAATGCAACCTCCTAAAGGTAGGTCCAGACTTGTGTCGTATCACCGTATCGTATCATGATCGTAATCGGCCAAGTATGGACGAGACACTATATCGTATTTGCGTATCTAGATGATACGCAAGAACGATACGACTATGATCGACTTGGTCGTCGATGATGGAGTCGGTATTGTTGGGTAGGTGCTCCGTTGCAGCGGAAACACCTATTAACCGAAAATACTTATGGCGATAATGATGATGAAGATATTCTATCTTCTTCTGATCTTCCGGTGTCACGTGCAATTTCTTCCCATGTATCATTTCTTTTTAATTTATTAAAATGATGGGGATCCGCTGAATTCCAAAGAGTACTTTTTGTTTATAAAAATCTATTAATTCTAACACAACTTTCTCTCGTGACCACTCCATAGCATCAGCTATGACTGCCAGATACGAAGTGATACGACTGAATAAAACGAGAGATCCCATGCTGGCAAATTGATACAAGATCTGGACAGGATAAGTTATGTCTACGCTCATTGTATCCGTATCACGTATCCGTATCACGTATCATTTCTTTAATGTTCGCCGAAATACCGACCAAGTCGATTACAGTCATAGCGTGTCTACGTTTCATTTCTTTGATGTTTCGGCGAAAGACTTCAAGTCGGTCATAGTCGTATCGTGCCTGCGTATCACCTTGAGAGCAGATACAATACGCAAAAACGATACAGTGTCCCGTCCACACTTGCCGATCATGATACGCGATTATGATACGATACGGATATATGACACAAGTCTGGACGTGGTTTACGGGATCCCGTTCAGATTTGGCCGATCATGATATGCAATTATGATACGATACGGTGATACGACACAAGTCTGAACCCATTTTAAGAGATTCAACATCATTTCAAGCTCATTGGAGATATTTAAAAAAAAATTTTTAGGATTAAAGTTTCTTATCTTTTTTTGTATGTAATCAGAACCCAGCAAACACAATATTACATGTAACATGCATGTCAGTTGTAATTTCCTACTCAACAATATAACTGTTATATTACACATATGTTACATGTGTTATATAACAGTTATATTGTTGAGTAAGAAATTAAAACTAATATGCACGTTACATATAATATTGTGTTTGCTGGAAATATATTAGGTAGTAAATTTAATTCCTGCCGCTCGCTACTAGAGAGTGCCGGCTCCAACGCTGGCGAGTTTCGACGGTGAAGTCGCATGTTTATTGTAGTTCAAACATTACTGAAAAGAGGTTGTTCGCCTCCGTGGCGGTTGGATGTGGTTCCTGTAACTACGCATATTTTTTGACCGTGGGGACTGCGTACGCGTTATCCCTGTTTTTCTTTTACCTCCATACTACTGGAAAATAGCCTTACAGAATTTCATCTATCTACACCGTGAGAGTGGCGTTGAAGCAGTACCCTATCATGCCCAGAGCCGTTTATTGAAAAAAAAGACATTACTGAAAATGATTCAATCCTCACAGGTTAGATTTCTCGACGCCAGATTTTCTAATCGATTGAAAATGAACTGCGATAAGCTGTTTTTCTGACATGTGCTTCTTTACTACTTCAACCTCAAGAAAACTGTAGCTGAAACATATCGCTTATTATCTGAAACGTATGGTAGTGAAACTCTATCATGAAAGAACAAGTAGGAAACATGTAGAATTTGATCTGAACGCTTTTGAAACGGTGATTTTGACATAAGAGACAAAAAACGTCCCAGCCGAAAAAATTTGATGAAGATGTTGAGCTGCAAGAATTGCTCGATGAGAATTCAGCTCAAATGCTTTTAAAGTTATCGAAAACGTCAAATGTTACTCCAATGATCGTCTCAAAACGCTTGCATGCCATGGGAAAAATTCATAAGGGATATAGCTATCATGAGTTGTCAAAAAATGCCATTTTGAATCGTTTGTCTATCGCGACTTCCTTACTTGCCAGGCAAAGAAAAAAGAGTTTATTGTAGCGTATCGTGACTGGCGATGAAAAATAGATTTATTTTGATAATCCCAAGCGGAGGAAATCATAGGTAGACCATCCACTTCAACGCCGAAGAGGAATATTCACGGGCATAAGATCTTGCTCTGCATTTGTATGCTGTATTACGTGCTATTACGTTCAATGAAACCGTTACAGCTGATCGCTACTAACAACAATTATGCCGATTGAGTGACAAGTTGATGCAAAAAAGACCATCCGTAGCCAACAATAAATGCAAAGTCATTCTTTTGCATGATAACGCTCGACTATATATTGCGAAAAGCATGAAGCAGACACTTCTAGAACTTGAATGGGAAGTCCTCTCGCATCTAGCGTATTCTCTAGACTTGGCATCGTCGGATTACCATCTCTTTCGGTCGATGCAACACGCATTTACGGACACACATTTCTCCAGTTACGAAGAAGTCCAAAAATCGGTGGATGAATGGATCGCCTCGAAAGACACCGCGTTCTACCATCATGGGGTTGCCCTGCTGCTGAAGAGATGGGAAAAAGTAGTAGAAAATGGAGGAAATTACTTTGATTAAGATTGATTCATCTTCCCTTCGAAACAAATCAATTTTGGAGACGAAAAGGCGGCAGGAATTAAGTTTACCATCTAACATAATAAAAAATGCTATGTTCCATTTAAAAAACTCAATTTTCGGTCTATGTAGCTAGTTTCCGGTCAGTATCGAAAGTTGAAGATATCATCACTGGATAGAACGTGCCCGATTTAGTTATGAAAATTTTCAGGATTTTTGCTAAAAACCATTTTCCTCCACTTTAAAAATAGTGGATGAGTAGTCTAAAACACCCAGTGTATATATTTAATTATTTATTTATTTATTGTTTATCGCTTGATATATATTCCACCTTGTCTCTCAGGTCTGATCTGCTTGCGTATAATGGAAGAGAGATTCGCGTCCACACATTGACACGCTCATAAAGATATGAATTCAACTACCGCGATACGAGCGCAGCGCAATTTTCATAATTACGCCGTATACATGTTTACGAATTACTTTCAAACATTGTGTGAGGCTGAGGGGATTAAGTACGATTAAGCACATAAGTAACGTAATCTCAAACGATTAACGGTGACACTTGCTCCCCGCAGAACGAGATACAGAAATTGCAGTCTCAGTTGAACGATATGAAAGCGAGATGCGAGAAGGCGGAGAAAGAAAAGAGCGAAATACTGATGCGTCGTCTGACGACTATGGAAACGATGTCGAATAAAACGTCATCGAGCGAGGTGGCGAAGCTGCAGAAGAAGAACGAAGGTATTCGTCTCGATCTAAGAAATATTGCCGTTTCTTGAATATTTCTTTCTACTCGGCGAGATGTCACATGATATGTAACAACGTCGGCGCGTGTTCCAGCGCTTGTGCAAGAGAAGAATGTGCTGTTGGCGAAGATAAAGGGTCTGGAAAAAGAAGCGAATATTAAACCGTACAGAGGCGAAAGGGACAAAGCGCACGATGAATTGCGGTCGAAGCTGAAGGCCGCGGAAAATCTCTGCGAGAGCTTGATGGACGAGAACGAGGACATGAAGAAGGAGATCAGACAACTAGAAGAGGAGATCTATGAGCTGCAGGATAATTTCAGGTAATGTATCTTCTTTCGCGCGGAACAAGGTATACCATGAACACACAGAGCTTCCTTACTTAACCCATTAACACCGAAAAGTCCAAAATTTTTTGTTCATTTTCAAGCTTTGTGCTTACTAAGTAAAACGTGAGCGATTTATATGTAACTCTATTTCCTAGTGTTTTTTGGTGTGCTCTTTCGAATGGCGGCGTCAAAATTGAGCTATCTCTACTAGAAAAATAAATATGACGGTTTAAACAAAAAAAAAACACGGAAAATACACTTTTTTTTTAACGATTTTTTTTTCACATCGAAATAATATAGGTAACTGAAGACCAAGTGTACTAAAGGGGGACAAAATAGTTGTACTTTGAAAATCCAACCCGCAAGATTATCATATACAACATGGCGACATTAAAAATGGCAGCTGAAGCGAAAAAACTTAATATTTCACTTTTTTCATAGAAATTGGATTCGACTGATATATATTATTTTTCATCCCAAGATGGTAAATTAAGTAGTTCTATTTTAGATTTACAAAAATATGGAGTTTTCAAAATGTCGGATTCAATATGGCAGTTAATAAATTGAAAAAAATCATTAATATTTTAATTTCTGAATTTTTCTTTATTTCTACTGGAAAATTTTTATTATGAAAATACAAAAAGGACAAGCAGAAAAATAAAAATAAGCCAAACAATATTTTCGTCCCCTAGCCAAAGTTTGACGTTGCCCTACTCTTACCACGTGGAGGTAGACCAAAAAAAGGTCTTGTTTTTTTTGTTTTCTTTGTTTGGTTTTTTATATTTTTTATATTTTCTATTTTTTTATTTTTTTACTTTTTATTCTTTTTGCTTTATTTTTTTAGTTTTTTTAGATTTATAAAATTAAATATTTACTTAAATTTTTTTGTATTTGTTCTGCAAATTTTAAGTTTTATAAAAACTTTATGACATGGAGTGTCTGATAAAACATGATTTACAAAAGTATAAAATGCAATCATTGCAGAACTTATACGTTTTTAAAATGTTTCCGTATTACACTTCCTTTTCAGATTAAAATGAAAAGTAAAACAAATAAAAAAATAGAAAATATAAAAAATATAAAAAACCAAACAAAAAAAATAGAGAATATAAAAAATATAAAAAACCAACAAGAAAACTAAAAAAAACAAGACCCTTTTTTTCGTCTACCTCCACGTGGTAAGAGTTGGGCAACGTCAAACCTTGGCTAAGGGACGAAAATATTATTTGGCTTATTTTTATTTTTCTATGTGTTCTTTTTGTATTTTCATAATAAAAATTTTCTAGTAGAAATAAAGAAAAATTCAGAAATATTAAAACATTTATGATTTTTTTCAATTTATTAACCGCCATATTGAATCCGACATTTTAAAAACTCCATATCTTCGTAAATCTAAAATAGAACTACTTAATTTACCATTTTGGGATGAAAAACAATATTTATCAATCGAATCTTATTCAATTTCTATGAAAAAAGTGAAATATTAGGTTTTTTCGCTTCAGCCGCCATTTTTAATGCCGCCATGTTGTACAGTCTGTAAAGTAAGAGCGTGTACATAAATGGTAGTTGGTTTCAAATATCGTCCTAGTTTTTTTTTTAGCCGTATTGTGAGGCATATCTCAAGCACAAGCTTCGAGGAAAAAGAGTGTGCATTTTGAAGCAGCTGACACGACAAATTCGTCTCATTTAAAGGTCTTTATCGAACGAATACGCAGTCAACTTAGTGGAAAGTATGCCTCGGAGATGCCAGGCAATTATCAATACCGGTGGTGACTGGACTCATTATTAATGGTATAGCATTTTTCTTCTCATGGAGTACAACAAATCCATGTACTTAAAAATCATTAAAAATAAATGTTTCTACACATTAACCCGTACACACTCTTACTTTACAGACTGTAGTGGAAAATAGTCTCGGAGATGCTAGGCAATTATCAATGCCGGTGGTGACTGGACTCATTATTAATGGTATAGCGTTTTTCTTCTCATGGAGTACAACAAATCCGTATACTTAAAAATCATTAAAAATAAATTTTTCTACACATTAACTCGTACACACTCTTACTTTACAGACTGTATATGACAATTTTGCGGGTTGGATTTTCAAAATACAACTATTTTGTCCCCCTTTGGTACATTTGGTCTTCAGTTACCTATATTATTTCGATGTGAAAAAAAATCGTTAAAAAAAAGTGTTATATTTTCCGTGTTTTTTTTGTCTAAACCGTCATATTTATTTTTCTAGTAGAGATAGTTCAATTTTGACGCCGCCATTCGAAAGAACACACCAAAAAACACTAGGAAATAGAGTTACATATAAATCGATCACGTTTTACTTAGTAAGCACAAAGCTTGAAAATGAACAAAAAATTTTAGACTTTTCGGCGTTAATGGGTTAATACGCATGCCATATATTCACACTTTATAGTTTTTTAGATAATCTGCAATTTATTTGGATTCGTCTAACTGCGAAGTGCGACTCACTGCTCTGTGAGACTTTTTGTAATTAAATTATTCAAAGTTAGATGTCACTTTAATATATCACGTGCACGTCATGTGTTCGCACATCGAGATCAGTATCTCTGTTCCTTTTAATAGATGCTACATTTCGATCTTTGAGTAAAAGATATCTCTCTCTGCGCCCGGAACTTTGATTTGGAACACTACAAAATTGAGAATCTATATACCGGCGACGACGCGTCTCAAACGAAGAGATCAAAATTTCTTGCAAAATGAGCTATATGGATTGTTGCGGGACAACGATTTGGACGGGAAATGTATATGTGATCCCAATACATGACGGTACCCTCGCTTTTCGCCAAACACGGAAACCATTGGGGTACCTTTGTTTGGTAATCAAGCTTACGAAATCTGTGAATTTTTTGTCGTGTTTTACGTCACTTTTCTGGGATCACATCCACTTTTTTGCAAACATTTCAATTGAAGGGAGTAGCGAGACAGAAAGAGTTCTATGTTAAGATTTCGCAATAATTAAGAAATTTTTACGAGGGATCACCCTCATCATCGTAGGCTTTGTACAAATTTCTTTATGCGTCTCTATGAAGAACAGAGATACTTAAAAGACGAATCGAATACTACGCATTTGGATACACTACATCGCAGCATACCCTATACGTGTATCGTTTATCACATAAATATCATTTTCGCACGTAAGGGACGAACAAGCGGACGAGTATACGCGTTTGCGAAAAAGTTTGGAGCAATCTAACAAAAACTGCCGGATATTGTCGTTCAAACTGAGAAAATTAGAGCGCAAATCTGAAGAATTGGAAGGCGAGCGGTCCGCTCTAGAAAAGAAGTACGAGGAGGTAAATTTGCAATACTGAATTATTTTTTCTACCTACATATTATTTTTATGTGTGGCGTTTGTATATCTTAGGTGAAGAAAACGGAAGAAATTCTGCAGAAAGTGAGCAGTGCATTCCAGAACAGAACGCAGAAGAAGCCAACGGAGCTCATGACCAAAGTGCAACTTAAAAAGATGGTCGACGAAGTGGAGAAAGAAATAGGTTTGTTCGTTACTTTGCTTTCTCGTTAATCTCGCAAAAAGGTTGGATACATTACTAGATTATTAATATTTCAGAGGACATGCTCGGTGTCTTTACTAATATAAAAAATGGACATAACGTGGACATACCAGATGTGATGAAGGAAAATAACTTGAAATATGATATGCTCCTGAAAGAACACGAGCTGCTTAAAGAAAAATTCGAGACTGCTGTAAAGGAATTGTCTAATGAGAAAGAAAAGAAGAAAGCACAATCAAATGTAAAGAGGGAAGATACAAAAAGCGTGGATTTGCAAAATAGTAAACTAACACTCACTTTACAATCTAAAATTTACAGAGAAAGACGATAGAATGTGTGGAAAATCTCGAAATTTTGTTATAGTGAAAGGAAAGCTAGAGGAAGCACTTACTTTACGGGAAAGCGAGAGGAAAGCATGGGAGAAAGAAAAACTGGCGCTTTCAGACGAGAAGGATAAATTGAAATCTAAACTTCTTTCGCTATCTGCCGAAAAATTGAGAGTTTACAATGAGGTTGTACAACTAAAGAAAGATCTCGGTAAAATTTGAGCTTCATTCTTAATCTATTCGTGCAATTATTCAACTTTATAATGTCTTGATAAAAAAAATTTTTTCGACATTTTCATTTTATATGTAGGGGAAAGTCGTCTATTGGATCAGCTTTCAATTTTCTTTTATACTTTACAAATACTTAATAAAAATGAGATAAAGACTAATTAGAAGTTACTCTTGATTTGTTTGTGGCATTCTATAATTTTTTGAGATTTTTTGTATAACATCTTTCGTAGATATGTCTTTTAAAATCTCTGCAAGTGGTACAATTTTGGCAATTAGTTGCTATTAATAATTGTTTAATTGTTTAATTGAAATTACAGTTGGTATAAAAGACTAAAAAAATATTTTTCCAATTGAGTAAACATGAAGATTACAAAGATAAAATATTTTTGTTTTTAGAAATTTAGTTACGAAATTAATTAAAATTACAGATTGTATGAAAAATTAAAACAAATATTTTTAAAAATAAATATTAAAATTACTTATTAAAGTAATTATTAAAATTATATTCATTTTTATATGAAATTTATTTTATATGAAAATTTTATATGAAAAAGTTGAATTTATATTCATAATAATATTCTTTGACTATATAGTTAAAAATTGCGGAATTTATATATATATATATATATTTATTATATCTTCAACTTAAAATTATAGAAATAAAATATTTTTGTTTTTAAAGACTTCGACGAGAATTAAAAAATAAACAACTATTAAACAAAAATTAGTTTTTCAATTAAAACAAAAATAAATATAGATAACACAAAAAAAAGTAAATTACTTTCTATAGCCTTTAAGAACAACAGTCACAAATGTAGTTTTCCTTGAAAATTCTTAAATTATACCAGTACAATACAGGCAATCAATAAGTGGTACGATTTAAGAGACTAGTTATATTTTTCAAATTATGGCAGTAAAGCATACATAGAAGAAAGGTTATGTCCAACCTATGTCATGTAAATATGTTTATTTTAATGTAAAAATGATAAGCAGCTAAATTAATACACTTTTTGAAACTTTCCAAATACCTTATGTAAAAGTGGATAAAGCTTACTTCTAAAACCAAAAAGAACCTTTACTTGCTTCTTTTAACAAGATGCTTTCGCGCGTAAACATCCACTTTCTTCTATTAACTTTAGGTCTGTTTTTTATTACTGAACTAGTGTACATTCAGGGAACATAAAAAGAAATAGATATACATCTAGGAGTTAGTGAAAGGGAGAGGAGAAGAGAATAAGTGCAAGTTAGTGCAGCCAGTTCAGCAATAAAAAACCAAACCTTTTATGTCGATAGATGAACCTCGCATAATACGCAGATGGCGCTAGGCTTCCGGATTCGGATGAAACATAAAGATACTATAATTTAAAAACTGGTACAATATCGGTGACTTTCCTCTACTCAACGTACGAAACACACACAATAGCGATTATATGTAACACAATTTTTGTTCAAATACAGAAACAAATAAGACATCGGAAAAAGATAAAATGGAAGCAACAATAAAAGAATTAAAGGAAAAGCTATCTCAAGAAGAAGAAAAATGTAAGAAGATGCAGGGTGATTTATCAGCATATACCGAGAGAGAATCGAAACTCTCGCAATCAATTACATCTGTAAGTAAATATATATTTTATAATCCTAGAGCGTATTTTACTTTTAGTATCTGCTCAATCGTGTTATTATCTTTTGAAACAGGTAGAACAAACCAAAGCCAAGCTCGATGCTGAGGTGAAACGTTTAAAGAAGGAATTGGAAAATACGAAATCCTCTACATCAACAAAGATCACGGATCTAACTACCGAGCTTATGAAGTTTAAGCAAGAAAGTGAAAAATTAACAACACAATTCGACAATGAAAAAGAAGCAATAGAAGCTGAAATAGTGGCTCTCAATAAGAAGATATCTACCTTGGAAAAGTCAGGACAGAATACAAAGCGCATGAATGAGATGAAACAGATGTACAATGAAAAAATTTTGAGTGAAGTATCATTATTTGGAAGAATAATATTAATCTAAGATAAACAACATACTTGTGCTATATTGTGCATTTTGTCACATTTAATTTTATTATAATGTGATAAAATAATTTCAGATCTTGAGAATGAGATGAAGAAACACGAACAAGAACAACAGACTTTACAAGAAAAGTATCAAGAGCTTAGCAGCTCAAAGCTACAACTTGAAAGGGAAAATGTATTTCTGAATAGGTAAACAGCAATTCAACACTAACAGTGTGAGGAGTAAGAATTCACTACCAACAATATTAAATATCTCATGTGATCTATTTCATTTTATCTTACGTTTCATTATAGTGAGTGTGCAAAGCATAAAGAGGATTTAAGTAATATTCAAGCGGAGCTCGAAGAACTGCGTAAATCGATGAGAATGAAAGAGAGCGAATGGCGATCAGAAAAAAATTCTCTTGAGGTGCGTCAATTTCACACAATGGTTATTATAATTAATTTTCACATACTATATTTTCACATACTATATTTTTTCAACTTACAATCCCAGAGCCAGATTCGCGAGAATCAATCACCAAATAAACTTATTATAACTGAACTGAACAATGAAATCAATGCATTAAAGAAGGAGAATTCTACTCTACTGGAACGATTGGAAGATATGAGGAAAATAGTAAGCACACAATACAATATTTTGTTGATTCTTTCATAGTTTATTTTGAGATTTGCAAGAATAATTATGAACTTGGAAAGAATTTCCTTATTAAGAAAAGAAGAAAATATAGTCATAAATTCACAGAATGACGATCTGTCTGCAAAACTGAAAGACTACGAAGCGGTTTCTAAAATTCATCAAGTGTTGATACCCGACACGACAGCGCTGGAATCAGAAATTCGGAAATTAAAGAACGCCTTGACGAATACGGAAAAGGCCAAAAAGGCAGACTTGGCACAATGTAAAATGCGCTACGAACACAGAATCACGGCAATCAACGACGAAATTCAAGCGATTCAGAACCAGTTGTCACGTTACAAAAAAGAACGTGACACTTACAAGCATATGTTGGAGGGTGCACAAAAAACGATAGGCGAACTAAAATCTGCAAGACAAGGCAGACTATCCAGTGCATCTTCTGGGAAGTCGGACGAGGTTCGTAAAGAATGACAGAATTTTGCACTGGTCATTTTGAATAAAATTATATAATTACACTGACATATTTAAATAAATAATATTGCTAGCATCAATCGTACATATTTAAACAAATAATATTGCTAGCATCAATCGTATCATAAATCTACTATTTATTCAATCTTTAAGAAGAAGATGATATCTCTAATAAAAAGATGCTCTGTTATTAGGATGAAGAATCGTCGAGTACCAATATATTAATATTAGAAAAACAGATCAGTTCTATGGAAGATGAGCTTTCCGAAACAAGGCTCGAAGCTTCCAGACTGAAAGCCGAATTGGTTTCGGAAAAGTCAGCTAGTCACGTTAAGGTGTCCGAGTTGCAATCACGAATCAATGAGGTAATGACGAAGACCGTAAACTTCCAAAAATATTTTCCCTACTTTATATTCTTTATGTTTGTAGCTGGAGGAAGAACGATTGCTCACCAGTGGTCGTTCGAAAATTCCAGGATTAAAAGTGCGAATGGAATTAGCTTGGCAAAAAGAGAGAGAAGAACATCAAAGATTGCTACAGGAAACGGCAACGTTAGCGAGGGATTTACGGCAAACATTATTCGAGGTACCCAGACAGCACCGGACATCCAATGGATGTACATTTCATATCCAATTTATGTCCGTATGTCTGATTTACGTCCGTGGACATAAATTGGACGTAACAAGGCTGTCCTTATTAGACATCGGACTTGTAGGACGTCCGATGTACGTCCATTGGATGTCCTATGTCCGAAGTTGTGACAAACGTACGTCCTCTGGACGTCTTTTGTAAAAAAATGGATATATAACGGACGTCCAGTGGACATCCGTGTGCTGTCTGGGTATTGACCAATAATCTAACATTCGTTAAATGAAAAGATATAATTGACTGAAATTCTTTATAATTCCACGAACGTTATTCTTACAGATAGAAAGAGAGCGTAGCAAAGAACGGCTGGAAAATAAAAGAAGACAGGATCAGTTGAAGAAGGTATTCGATGAAGAGAAAGATGAAAATAAGAAGAAATTAACGGAGGTGATTGAGATTACATATAACGCTAAGTTGAATAAACTTAAGAGAATAACAATATATAATACCCACTTTTTCACTTGCGATCAACTCTAGTTGCAATGTGATTTACTTGAGCTGAGAGACGCGCATGCGAAATTAAGAACAAGCAACGAGAAGATGAGACGCGAAAAGGAGCGACATGAGAAAGAGAGGCAGGAACTTAAAGACGTGATATTGAACAAATGCAAACTAGAGCAGACCGAGCTGCGAAACATCAACATTCTTATGCAACAAGTTCAGGATCTGTTGCAGCTTTTCCCTGAATTGAATACTGTAGCGGAGAACGGAACGCCCGATGCTTATACGCCAACCCCACCGAGACGATTGAGGGTACGAAAAGTAGAATGTTTCCCGTATTCTAATAATTACGATATACAAGATATCCCATTTTAATTACCCCAGATAAATACGAGGGTAGTCTCAGAAATACCTGACCTAACAAAGAAAACAAAAAATTTGGGAAAAAATATCTTTATTTCTCTACATAGTCTCCTTTTCGCTCAATACATTTTTCCCAGCGATGTTCAATAGCTTCGATACCCTGTTTATAGTGGGAATCGTCGAGCTCCTCAAAATAGCCATCAAGCCACCTTGGTCCATTGTTTTGACTGTTCCTTCGTCTCAGGTGTGAAGTGATGGACCCATGGTTATGAATCGACACAAAAACTCGGCTTTATTGCTGCGAAACTTCGCCAAACATTCGATTGAAACATCCTCACGACGCTGTTTTTATTCCAATCGCGGCACCCATCTTGCGCACAGCTTTCTCATGTCCAAATTTTCAATCAATATGCGATGTACAACACTTTTTGAAATGCCTACCATGTCTGCTAACTCGCGCACTTTCAGTCGACGGTCATCCAATACCATTTTGTGGATTTTCTTCACCATTTCTGGCGTGGTCACCTCATTTGATCGACCACTGCGATGTTCGTCTTGGCAGCTTGTATGGCGTCGTTTAAACTCTGCCACCCAATATTTTACTGTTGTAAACGAAGGAGCAGACTCCCCCAGAGTAGAATCTAGCTCCGCTTTGATATTGGTTGGACTGAGGCCTTTCAAATGAAAGTATTGTATCACATAACGATGACCAATTTTTTCCATGTTTACAAATTCACTGAGAGCGTTCACTATTGATGGCTGCCAAACAAATACTAAACAACGTAACGTCGTCAAACTTCAAACTTAAGCTTTATAAGGTTGGTACTTTCTACCATAGTCATTCTTTTCAAACAACAACCGCTATCTATATGTCAGGTCAGGTACTTCTGAGGCTACCTTCATATCTTAAAAAATATGGAAGATACGGGAAAACGTTTCAGACAAGAGTTGTAAGGATATCAAGAAGGGGAGACGTATAATACTGACATTTGTTTGACTTTGCGGTTACTTTAAAAAGTGTTTTGAAAATGTTTTGACGTCATCTATGAGAATATGCAATAAAAAATGTAGGTTGCTGTTTAAAAATTCAAGGTTAACCTTGACGGATGTTTTCAAAGTGATTGCAAAGTCAGACAAATATGATACCCTTGATATTCTATAACTTTTGTCTGAAACTTTTTCCATGTCTTCCATATTTTTCAAAATATTTGCCTGGTGCAATTAAAACGAGACACCCTGTATAACAATCTTAATATAATCTCTGTAGGGACCAAAGTCAAGAGAGTCGTCGCCAATGTTGGAAATGTTGGAACCAAAAAGCGATGTAAAAGGTATTTGTTTAAAAATAAATCAGCTTAGATTTATCGCATAGATGATTCACTTTACAAACATGTATTCGTATTTACAGTTACTCCGATACTCGGAGAAAGAACAGAAAAATTAGAATATACTATTAAAAAATTAATGGACGTTGCAAAGGAACTTAAGGAGTCAAAGAAAGCAGCGGACGAAGCGAATGCAACACGATTGAAGAAGCTAGGAAAAAGGTGAGCTCTTCACAATTTATGCGGCTTGATTACTCTCTAACAATCCAGAAAGTGTCACATTGTTGTAATTTTAGATCGACGTCAGTTGAGAGTGACCCAGGAAAAGGAGTACTTTTGAATCGCAATAAACCGCGTTTGAAGAGGAAGAGTCTGTCCTTGGAACAAACCTCTGGGCGCCAAGAGGTGAATACAGATTGCATCGTATACATTTCGTAGAACATTTCGTAATACATTTTGTTTGTTGTAATTTTATGTTGAAGTCAATTAATTTCTGAGATTCAAATTCCTACACTTATGATAATAATCGCGATCTTTGCGATCATGCAATTCAGTCTCCAGCTATTTGGGGTACGGACAGCAACATGTCGAGCATGCAGTCGTTGGAAGGATCGGAAACAGGGTCTCACGTAGTCAATCGACAAAGGGATTCCAGCGTAGACAGGTATGGTATTCATGATATAGGCGATATCTCAAATTTACGGTAAAATTAATAATTTCTCTATATTCAGCCGACTTTCCGGAGGGTCGACAAAGAGCGAGATGTTGGAACGCGATAAGAAGTACGGGAAGGGAATAATACGGAAATTAACGCACAAATTGACGAAATCGTCAAGTGTTGATGACCCAAACATGACTGACTATTCCCTTCAGGCAAGAGAAAATCTAAATATTTAATATTTCTACACAAAATGTTCATTTATATTAATGTGGCTAAATGCTTGTACAGACGTCCGGTTCTGAGACCAGCATCAACGAAACTGTCAAATTGGAGAAGAAAAATCTAAAGAAGAAATTAACGGCCATGTTCAAGAGAGGTTCGAGAAGCAACAGGTATCCCGAAATAAATAACAATCTAATTTAAATTTAATATTTAGTGTGGTACGTTTTTTCCACCTGACGAATTTCTGTGAAATCTTGCATTTCTATATTTTTTTGAATCACTGATTATAAATCTGAAGTTAGATTTCAAAAATTCAAAATAGATCCGATATGGCTGCCATATAAGAATAAATACAAATAAAATTTATATAAAACTTACCTTTTTAGACAAAAAGGTAAAAAAAGGCGCCAAGTACAAGCGTATTGTGTTATTTTTAGAAATTTTAAACTCAAATTATTTTTTTAAGGCATATATGTGTATATAACATAAGTTTCTACAAATAAAACTTATCAAATTATTTTTCTTTCAAGATATATATGTACATAAGCTTTTAAAAGTAAAAATTATATCGTATTATAAAAATTTAACACGTTTATTAATAGTGTCCAATATTAAAAAAAATATATTTTTAAAGGTTATTGTTATTCAAGGAAAACCTAGCTACAAAAAATGTCCATGGCATATATTTTTACAAGTAAAATTGATCATTATTTATTAGCACACTGAGTTATATGGTTATTTTACTTGTTATTATAACAAGTTAATTATTATAACAATGCAATAAAAAAATTTAATACAAATAATTTGGCGCAGCTGCACCAAAAATTATATCGAACTAAAACTTGTTTAATACATACATGACAGCATTTTTATTATAATAAAATGTAACTTATAAATTCTCTCTACACATATACGGTGTAATGTTTTATTTAAGTTTATATAGTATTATATTAAATTATAAACCTTCACTATAGAATATAGATATCGAAAGGTGTATATATTCTACATATTTCGATATTTTTTTATTCAAAGATGTTATTCTTATTATAATTGACGAAATGTCAATGATATCTAATTTGACTTTTATGTACATACATCTTCGATATAGTTTTTGGTGCAGCCGCGCCAAGATTATTTGTATTAAATATTTTTTATTGCATTATTATAATAATTAATTTGTTATAATAACAAGTAACATAACCATATAACTCAGTGTTCTAATAAATAATGACAAATTTTACTTATAAAAATGTATGCCATGGACATTTTTTGTAGCTAGGTTTTCCTTGAATAACAATAACCTTTAAAAAGATATTTTTTTTTAATATTGGACACTATTAATAACGTGTTAAATTTTTATAATATGATATAATTTTTATTTTTAAAAGCTTATGTACATATATATCTTGAAAGAAAAATAATTTGATAAGTTTTATTTGTAAAAACTTATGTTATGTATATAATATATATCTTAAAAAAGGAAATAATTTGAATTTGAGATTTCTAAAAATATTAAGTATACAATAATCATATACAGGGTGGACCATTTTAACCTTTAATGGAGAATAACTCGACCGGTGAGCGAAATAATGAAAAAAGTTTCATATAAAAGTTGTTGGACAAGGAGGGGGACGTATGACCATATCCTCGAATTTGATCTTGACTTTGACCTTAGGGGTTATTTGAAAGTCAAATAACATTTTTTAAATGGAATTGCCTATTTTCGACCCCGGATTTGGAAAGAGCGGGAAATTTTAGAATAGGACATGGTATGATCGATAAGATCAAATGTCATGTTTTGAGGTCATTTCAAAGTCAAAAGGAACTTGTACGTGTATTCATGCGAAAATCGTATCTGTATACGGGGATTTCTAAATTATCTTCTACACTTAGCATTACCCAGAGACAACGACGTGGACGTGGTAGAATTCTGCCTCTTTCGGGGTGCTTGTTTAGAGTGAGTCCCCTTGCCTCTCACTATGCATACTTTGCTATTGTTAATCTAGCTATTCAAAAGGTTTTCGAAAGTTGCACCGTTAGCATTTATGCAATAATTGAGCCTTCTTTGGAAATGGGCCACTGTGCTGAGCAAGACATTTCGTGGAATCGCTTCGTCTTATGCGATTTTCCATATCTTCTCTTGTTGTTGGTTCTTCTTTGAAAACAACTTCTTTCAAATAGCCCCAGAGATAAAAATCGAGTGACGTCAAATTAGGAGAACGAGGAGGCCATGCAATCGGACCCTCTCGACCAATCCATCGGTTCGGGTACCTTTCATCTAAAAACCTCCTGACTATACGTGCAAAGTGCGGTGGTGCACCATCCTGTTGGAAGAACATCCTTCGCCTGGTTTCCAAGTCTACGTTCTCCAACAAATGAGGCAATTGGTCTGTGAGCAAATCGAGGTACGTATTTGCATTCACAGTACGTTCGAAAAAGAATGGACCGACCAAGTATCCATTAACAATCCCGCACCAGACATTGAGGCTCCAGCGGTGTTGATTGTTAATGGATACTTGGTCAGTCCATTCTTTTTCGAACGTACTATGAATGCAAATACGTACCTCGATTTGCTCACAGACCAATTGCCTCATTTGTTGGAGAACGTAGACTTGGAAACCAGGCGAAGGATGTTCTTCCAACAGGATGGTGCACCACCGCACTTTGCACGTATAGTCAGGAGGTTTTTAGATGAAAGGTACCCGAACCGATGGATTGGTCGAGAGGGTCCAATTGCATGGCCTCCTCGTTCTCCTAATTTGACGTCACTCGATTTTTATCTCTGGGGCTATTTGGAAGAAGTTGTTTTCAAAGAAGAACCAACAACAAGAGGAGATATGGAAAATCGCATAAGACGAACTTGTGAAGCGATTCCACGAAATGTCTTGCTCAGCACAGTGGCCCATTTCCAAAGAAGGCTCAATTATTGCATAAATGCTAACGGTGCAACTTTCGAAAACCTTTTGAATAGCTAGATTAACAATAGCAAAGTATGCATAGTGAGAGGCAAGGGGACTCACTCTAAACAAGCACCCCGAAAGAGGCAGAATTCTACCACGTCCACGTCGTTGTCTCTGGGTAATGCTAAGTGTAGAAGATAATTTAGAAATCCCCGTATACAGATACGATTTTCGCATGAATACACGTACAAGTTCCTTTTGACTTTGAAATGACCTCAAAACATGACATTTGATCTTATCGATCATACCATATCCTATTCTAAAATGTCCCGCTCTTTCCAAATCCGGGGTCGAAAATAGGCAATTCCATTTAAAAAATGTTATTTGACCTTCAAATAACCCCTAAGGTCAAAGTCAAGGTCAAATTCAAGGATATGGTCATACGTCCCCCTCCTTGTCCAACAACTTTTGTATGAAACTTTTTTCATTATTTCGCTCACCGGTCGAGTTATTCTCCATTAAAGGTTAAAATGGTCCACCCTGTATATACAGGATCATCGAAAAGTATCGAACCCTCCTAATATCTTCAGTTAGAATGCATTTTGAAGAAAATGTTCAATAGCAAAGTTGTATGGTTTCAAGCGGGGAGTAAGATGATGACCTTGACTTTGACCTTGACCATGTCCTTCAAGGTCATTTCAAGGTCAACCTTATTTTTTTTAATAGAACCCTCAACATTTTATTGCATATTCTTATAGCTTAGCTCAAGAGCTTTCCAAAACACTATAATAAAACATTTTTTCATTAAGTACTTTTTGAGTTATAAAGGTTTGAAGTTAACAATTTGTTAAGTGGTGTGTGATTCCGGCCAATTAAGGCAAGAGTGGTGTGTGATTCCGACCAGTTAAGGCAAGAGTAGTGTGTGATTTCGACCAGTTAAGGCAAGAGTGGTGTGTGATTCCGACCAGTTAAGGCAAGAGTGGTGTGTGATTCCGGCCAGTTAAGGCAGGAATGGTGTGTGATTCCGACCAGTTAAGGCAAGAGTGATGTGTGATTCCGACCATTTAAGGCAAGAGTGGTGTGTGATTCCGACCAGTTAAGCGAATTTCATTCCAATTGGTCAGCTTGGGCAAAATATTCAATTGTATCAAATAATTCACAACAAATGTTCAAATTGTTGCCCTTCAACAGCCTGGCAATGTGCCAATCTGTTATAAACAGTTGAAACCATATTCTGCAACGTTTCTGGCGGTATTAGTTCTATCTCTCGAATTATTCTCCCTCTTAAATAATCTAAATCTTGAGGCTTGGTGGCATAAACTTTAATTTTCAAGTAACTCCACAAAAAAAGTCAAGTGGGGTCAAGTCCGGAGACTGAGGTGGCCACTCAATATGACCCCTTCGCCCTATCCACCTGTCCTGAAAGACCTCATTCAAATATTGACGGACAATGACACCATTGTCCAATGAGATGGAGCTCCATCCTGTTGGAAATAAATTTCATCCATATTTCCACCAGCTATGTCTCGAATAGCTGGAACAATTTGTTCGCAAAGCATGACTGTGTATACTTGTGCTGTCAAATTGCCTTCAATGAAGAAAGGGCCATCTGGTCTACCATTAAGAATACCAGCTCATACGTTAACTTTTTGTGTATATTGGGTATGATTGTCTCTTTTCCAGTGAGGATTAACGTCACTCCAGTATCTACAATTGTGTCTATTTACATTTCCAGTCAGTTCAAATGTTGCCTCATCAGAGAAAACAATATTATTAAGTAATAGAGGATCGTCGACAATCATCTCCATCATAAGACCACAAAATTCGATGCGTCTATCAAAATCGTCTTCGGACAACTCTTGGGCCAAATGGAGTTTGTATGGATGCCATTTATTCAATTTCAGAATTTTACTGACAAATGCATGACCGATTTCGTGTTCTTGTGCAACGCGATTGATGGAAATGTGGGGACTTTCAACGAAAGACTGTAAAACATCTAATGCCTTATCATTATTTGTTGCTGTTTTACGTCTACCAGATCTTGGGCGGCTTTTAACGCTACCAATGTCCTCGAAACGTTGAATAGTACGGATTACAGTACTTTTGGAGATCATATTATTTTCATTCCGAAAATGTTCATTAAATAATCGCGTTACTGTTTTATATCTTCTTTGTTGATCTCTCCATCCTCGCATCATTAACAGTGTTATTCGATCTCTTTCAGAAAGCTCCGCCATTCTTAATTAGAGCAAAGAAGAATTAATCAGGTA